AACCCGGTATCTTTTCAGCTGTTCTTTGTTAACGTGACATAAATAAGTTATAATGATTTTCATTCAGTTGGGACTTTACGCCGACTCTAGCCACACGCATCACAGGTAGATTCTGGTAAAGCATTGATTAATGCCTGATTTTAAAATTAGTTAACTGGACTTGTAGCCATTATTTTGTGCCCATGTGGCTGCACACCACACGGCACAATCGAACCTGATTGAACCGTTATACCTAGGATTTCTGTCAGCTAATGTGTCTCTCAGGTTTTGAAAATGGGCCGACAGCCGGCCAACAACTCGTGTAGTGTGCGCTGGACATTACACTAAGGAAATGAGGAAGGGAGGGTCAGTGGAGAGCACCGGAGTTGAGCCTTTTTTCATTCAGTGTCATCAAGAGAAAGAAAAAAGGCAGGGAGAGACGATAAAGCCGATAATTAAAATGAGGTCGATAGGTTTAATTTATTGTGCGATTAATTGATTTATCGTTTATCGCGACAGGCCTATGTGCTACTTCACTTTTTGAATAATGGCTGCGTTTTTAATGATATTATATTTTACTAAGATGAACTTGCATAAGAATCAAAATATACATAAACTATGAAACAACAAACGTCTAAAAAAATGAACAGTATGGCTTACCTTACTTTCTTTCCGTTCTCAATGATTTTTGTTTTGTTGAGAATTCCCGCTTTCTCCAAATTCTGTACCTGGAATTGTATCAGAAAAGCCAATATTTCATTGTTTTGAAGATTTGGTTTGTACACGTTAGACGTTTGTGCGAAAATTAGATGAAGGAGGCGATGTTCTACAGGGAAATAAAACTAAAAATGAAATGTGAAAAAAGGACTCCGAGTGCTCTTGCGTTGTTCTACAGTGCAGTGTCATCTGCAAGGACAAAAAAAAAAAAAAAAAATCTGCACCCTGACCACAAAAATCTGCATCTAAAGTTTGCAAATAGACACCGAGACAAGGTCGAGGCATTTTGTTCTGCAGACTGAGTGTTTAGAGATCACCTGACATGAGGACCTTTTATAGTAGAAGAAAATTACAATGAATGCTACATTGTGAAACAAATGTCGCACAGTCAGTAGAAAGTAAAAGACTGCCTGGCCTGAGATTCACTGGCCAAAATTAAAGAGCACAGGCTGAAAGTGAAATTTAAAGCGCAGCTCTGCAAGCCGCTTAGATGTCTCTCAACACTTATGAAGAAGCGAGGATTTTTGATTTATAATTTTTCAGTCTTTTAACCGAAAAAGTCCAATACTTTGTGAATTAATAGCTCGGTCACAAGTCATGTTGTTGCCGTGGAAGCTCGACGCACAACAGCAGGAAGTAAAAGTCAGACAGCGGAGAGGACATGTTAAGAGGTTATTAATCCACAGTTAATATAAGACTTTCAAACGGTTGATGCTTCGAGGGCATAAACAAGCCCATATTCTTGTTCATCCATGCGGGATGAAGAAACATCTGCTTAGGATTACTTGCAAAGTACCTTGAAATAATTGGATTCGTTCTGGAAATCACAAAGATGTGAAGCTAATCTTTTCTTTTCTTTAGTTATTTTTACAACATATATTTTGCTCGGCTAAACTCACATCAGCATCTAAATCCAAACGTATTGAAATTTTGCTTTTGCCTTCAGTAAACAGAACATACTGCATTCCTGGGTTGATATTATTGATATTGCGACAACTTTCACTTTATTAATATATTTATCTGCAGTGGTGATGATGCACATGAGAGATGCTTTTTATATCACTGCAGAAAAAAGATGGTTTGCTAATGAGAGGCAGGGTGATTTGAATGTATAAAGTTTTTATGGAAATTATAAAAAAAAAATAAAATAAAAAAGCTTATCAAGTTATTAATAGCCACACCTTCTGCCCATCATAGATAGATGCTGCTATCTATGGCTAAAGCTCAGGTGAGTGCTTAAACTAATAACCCACATTATAGCGCAGCCACTTTGAGGTCAAATAATAAGGATTTCTCCAGGGCCTAAACCCAACAGCCTTAAAGGAGAGACACAAAACACCATTCAGATGTAGGGATAGATCGGAGGGCTTAATGGTTCACTTTACTGATGTCACAAAACTCAAATGGAAGAGCACCAAAGTCCACTTACATTATGCTCTGGAGAGTTTCCCGTACTGGAGCTGTCGCTGCTGTGGTCTGACGTGTTCCTCAGGTGACTCTGGGTGAACCTCTAAAATCAGAGCACGAATGAAAATCTTAGTGTCGAATATGCGAATGTAAGACAAAACAGAACAGAAGAATAAGCAGGAAAAAAAAAAAAACTGAAGTGTGTTGTGGATTTCAGTGGGTGGAACTTCCCATTACACGTCTATAATTTACCAGAATTAGTCAAACTGAGCTCATTTTGGTAGAATGACTATTATTAACTCAAGGAGTTAAAATGATGACTCAAGTGATTAAAACTAATTGTTTGTCAGTGTGCTGTAATACCTTTTTCAATTGTTTCAGAGTGCGACATACAAAAAACAAACAAACAAACAAAAACAAAAAAAAAACAAGTGCAATCTTTTTACCTGCAATTAACTGTGTTTTTCTGCTGCCATTTTAATTTGATAATAATCAGACCCGCAAACATTCAGCGAGTTTCACACAAACGCAGATTCGGGCACGCTCGTGTACTGAACTTGGCCGAATACAGGAAGCGTTCACATAGAAAGAGTTTCTCATCTCCAGTTCTTATGCTAAGCCACAATGTTTTCTTTCAAGACCAAAACAGAAACCTTCTTTCTTTTAAGGCAAACCTGCAAAAATCTGTTTTTTATCTTTCTGATCTTAAGTGATTGATTTTCTACAACTAGACTACTTTTCATGTTAAAATTTGTGGCCCGCAAGTACCTTGCCTATGTCATCCACACATGACAAGAATTTATTAATTCAATGTTTTGTGATTAAGCAGTCTCCACTGCGCCCATTGGAAAAAAAACTTTCAACCCTTGGTTCCCGAGGTTTGTAGTAAGGAAAAGCAAAAGCCCGTATTTGTACACAGGAGTCTCAGTGGCGCTTGTGCAAATGTTGCCTCTCCCTCAATCAGAGAGCAATGCAGTCGATTTGCCTTGCTAAATAAGGGTTAAACCTTTTCAGTGTTGGCGGATAAACACAGACTTAACCACGCTACTTGCCAACTGCATAACTTTATATTTAGCTGTCGGACACACCCTGGATGTGCCACACAACCTGTGTGTACACACACATGTCTGTGACGGCGTTAGTGTGTGTACATGCATGTACCCCATCTTCCTGGCCCGTGCAGAATTGAGCAGGTACCCTCGAGTCTCTCCAGTTTTTGACGACGTGCACATTTTCATTCTCATCGCCATTCGGGACATTGGAGTGAGAAGGAGCTGCAGGGGCCTTCAAGGACAAAAAAAAAAAAAAAAAAAAAAAAAAAAAAAAAAGAAGAAATTTCACACCATAAAAATGACAGAGATTCCACGTTCTTAACTTAATTTGTCAGAAAAGTCTGTAAAGTAGAGAAGGGTCTTCACCTCAGGCAGATTCCACTCAGACTTGGTGCCATCTCTTAGGTAGTAATAGGTTTGGCCCTGATCATCCACAGACTTGATCCACTGTTAGACAACAGAAACATTTTTATTTGGCATATTTTTCTGTAACTTAAGTCACAGTAAAAAAAAAAAGAAGTTACAGAATAGCATATTTTTAATTCAGAGTAATAACTGAACTTCTTTTTCTAATGCAGTTTTTCCAACCAGAGCTGCTGCTTCACGGCTTAAATCCCGCAACGAAATATATCTAGGGTTTCATAAAAGACATCAGCAACGTAATGAAAAACAGGTGCCGTTTATTAAACTAGGATGTGATTTTGAAGGGCATACATCATATTTTAGATGCCACAAACGATTCTCAAAGGATGAAACATGAATAAATGATATTTCTCAATGCTGATGTGACTTTCAAAACATGCTTTTCTGAAAGAATTATTTTTTTTTATTTTTATGTCACAGCCACTAAACAGGAAGGCCCCATCGTGCATGTATGACAACGTTGAGCCTATATACATATTTATCATCACAGAGTGGATTGTTGTGAAGACGTGAAGGAAATGAATTTCTCCTCATCCATCAAAAATAGTCTCTTTTTCTCCCAGGATTGTACAACAAATTGGGTCTTGAATTTAGGTGAGAGTGCAAGCCGAGGTTGGGGAAGAGGGCTGAACACAGGAGAGAACACGGCTTGTGTCAGGGTCATCGGTCATAGCTCAAGCAGAGTCAGCATTTATGGTGAGAATAAAGTGTGCCAGGTAAGAAATGTCTTTCATCGCCTGATAATTACCCGTCACGTTGCTTGTTCCTCAGTGTCTGAGCCAATTAACAGAGAAAACTTTTGGCTGTAGCGCCCGTCTGAGTATTCCAACTGGTCTAGTATTGGCTTAAACTTTAAGGCAAAATGATGAGTTTTTCTGAGAAATCAGACTGCGAACATTTTTACCTTTTCAGTGGCATAACAGATGGTTTCCTCAGGATAAAACTGAGAAAACCATGTAGGTATGTGACGCACAGATTACGCGGAGAAAAGGTGAGACTTTGTAACCACTGCAGGTCTCACTAACAAAGTATTCTGGCCGCACAGCTGTTTGAAAAAATAAACAGCCATTTTGTTGTGTTTTTTAATAAACCAATACATCCACTCATACTGCAACAGATACTAGTGCCTTGGTGCAGTTAGAAATGGTAAATAAGTTAAATTTATCTCACGCTTTTCGCGTCAAAGCACTTGCTCGGGACCATGTCAACATGTGCAGCTAGAATTGAACCTACAACTTTGTGATTGAAAGACAACTGCTCCACCACTGAGCCACAGTCACACACACAGTTGAGCGACGTACTCCTTTAACAGCATTGGTATTGTGTACCGATGCTGGATACGGCATCTGTGAAACTAGACCAAAACAAACTGAGTTCCGAGCTGAGCATGCTAAGATTAGCAAGCTAGCACTAACATCCGCAGGTATTTATTGAGATTTTCAGGCACACCAGTTCCTCAGATGCATCAACCCTTATCAAGTTCTATCCAGAGGGGTATTCTTGCTCTTCAAGCATATTTACAACACCTGGTAAAAAAATACAATTGTGTTCAGGAGCATGAACTTTCACTGCAGGACTTCGTCAAATGTTTACCGCAGAAAGATAACAGTTATTTCTGCGTTGTGGCTCTGGTGGCTAACGGTACCACAAGGGACCGTCATGTCCGCCTAACTGTGACTACATTTGTTTGCTTTTGACTTAGTTTCTAAAGCACGAGTCGCATTTAAATGTAAGTGTTTATCTTGATGAGCCACATAACACCTCAGCCTTCCTGGCAACATTTTCCACAGCAGTTTTTGTATGAAAACATTATTAGGGTTTTGATAAAATGAAGCTTACTATATGGTTTTAGAATAGCACGGCTCAAAAAAAAATGATAGCTGACGTTTTCTCTGGTCCTCTGCAAAAATCACTACCTTGTGCTACCTGAGATCCATGTACTTATCTCACGTAAGTCTCAGTTATTTTGCCGCAGTGCAAAACGAAAAAATAACAAGGCTTTGAAAAGCAAAATAAATCTTATTATTCATAGTGAACCTTTGAAGTTTCACATCCAGTCTTGTGACCAGTTTCTATTTAAGTTGTATGTTGTCCACTAAGATATTTCTCGACACATTTTTTTTGTAACTAACTTTTAAGCCTTGAGCAAGTTTAAAATAAAAGTAGCATATTTCAAATTAGCATTTTATATGCTGCCATTTTTTTACAACAAATAATTTTACAATATATATTTTTTTACTTTATTATTTATATGTTGCATCATGCACACTAATTTAATCCTGTGCTATTTAAATAATGATAGCTACTCATTAGTTATTTTTAAATTTGTACAGTTTAGGTTGTTTTTTTATAGGTTTAAATGAAGCTTAAACTACAGTACACATCCAGCTCTATTCTTTGTTATGCTACTGAACTACTGAAATTAGAGGAGAAACAGACAGGGCTGAAAAAGTGCTGCAAAATACTGGCACGTTTAACGTGAAAGTCCACTGAATGCCAACTGACACGTCCACATTTCACACCTTCTTCAGTTATATTGAGGGGCTGTCCTTACCTGATCTGGAGAGTTTTCACTGGTGAAAACCCATGTCCCACTGGGTTCCACGGTGAGGTTCCAGCCAGGCGGGGTACTGCGGTCCAGGTTGGCCCGGGGGATGGTGGTCATACTCACGTGGCCAAGAGCGTACTCCTTCGGAAGAGTCGGGGGTCCCGTGTTCTTGATGTCCTCGTACAATTCTCCTTGGTCTGGGTAATCCTCTGATGGGTAGTCCTCCACAGGTAAAGGAGGCTAGCAAAAACAATGTACATTAAAACAATTTATTGCATTTTTTGAAGTTATTTGTCTTTTTAGTGAAAATTACACTGCAGGGTAAATTTGAACAAATTATCGAAGGAAGGCTGGACATTGTCAGAGACGAGATTAATCCGGAGTAAACCTAGTCGGAAAAAACACACTTGACATGCTTTTAAAATTTTTCAATCATAAACCTTCCTGTATTACATTTAGACTGGTCAACATAACGTAGTATACTATGAAGAGAAAAGAGAAGAATAAGGGTAATTTTTAATTCAATAATTTAGGGTTAGGGCTCAGATTCCAAATCTCGTCACAGATTCTCAGTTAGATTTATGTCAAGGCTTGACCGGACAATTGACGCAGAATATGCTTTGATGTAAAACATTTCAATGCAGCTCTGGCTGCATGTTTAAGGTTGTTGTTCTGCCTACACCACGGTCTCAAGTCTTTTTTTTTCGGCTTCAAACAGGAATGCTCTCACAGGAATGCTTTGTACTTTTCTCCATTCATCCTCCCATTGTCTCTGACGAGCTTTCTTGTCAGTGATGATGCTGCCAACGCCAATGTTTTACTGGAGAAATGGTGTGTAATGGCCACACCCAAGGCTGCACTACAGGTGAGTCAGTAACCCTCATGGCCTTTCCACTTTTCATGTTTTGTACATTTTCAGTACAAAATAAGAGTTTGTCATAAATGATTAGCGAGACGTTTAAATAGATTTGTTCTATTTCAGGTACATCTAGGGATTCCTGATCAGAAATGGAAACTTTTGACGTCTAAACAGAAATTTCAACAAGCGTGTAGGTTTTTCCATTTATCGCTCGTCAATTGCAGCAAGTGACACAAACTGTTTGTTCATACTTCGTGTTGAAATGTTTCAGCTTAACGCAGAGTCACCGAATAATGTCAGTTTCCTCAGTTACTGCTACGATCTTCATGTCAAGTCTTTGACTTTCAGAGCTGCACTGACTTCCAGGTTCTCTTCCTCTTTCTGCAACTCGTATGAAGTCATTCAAGGGCAAAAATTGGGTCACTTGCTTCTTGGAATGTGAAAGAAAAACAAACCCCCAAAACAAGTGAATTAATATGTTTACTGATGGGGTAAAAAATATTTCCGTATGATGACAAAATTCCTGTGAAATCTCAGGCTATTCAAAGATTAATACCGTCTCTTCTCGAAATCCAAATGAGGCCAAATGTTCTTTCAGGGAAACTATTTGGGACTACCGCTGAGCCTATTCTGTTCGGAGATAATGAATTAAGTCATGTCTGTTATGTAGGTGCAGGACATTTCATTCCATTAAGAGCAGACTGTATTTAGGTTCCCCCTGGGTGAAGCTAAAACTGGAGACAGAGGAAGCCTAAGTGGAGCAGCCAGGCTGTCTGTCCTTACCGGCTCGTCATCGCGAAACCTGTGCACGCTCATAGGCTCCATCGGAGAGGGGTAAAGGCTCTGCTGCTCAGGAGGGTCCCAGGATGTCTCCCCGGACATGTGGTTATAGAAGTAAGGCTGACCAGTGGTCTCATCCACCAGCTGCTCCCAGTCTGAGGCCCAGTCGGATTGAGGGGACGGTGGAGGGAAAGGAACCTCCGGAGGGAGTGGCTCAGGGTCTGTGGGGGAGTCTAAAAAGGGGTTGTCCCAGGTGGTGCTCCCCGTGTCGGGGTGGTAGTAGTATTCCTGTCCACTTTCTTGGTCAACATGAACCTCCCATCCCTCCTGTTTTAGGTAGGAAGGAGAGCAGGGCGAAGGGTCCGACGGGGGAGACTCTGAGATGCTTTGGCGAAGCTCTGCTACGTTGACGTACACTGCTGACCGGAGATTTTCATTCTGCACCTGAAGATGAGAAAGAACAATGCAATAAGAATAGAGAGTTGCTGACATCCGAACACATCTATTAGTGTTTCTACTGTAGACTAAGGAAAACCTGGCCTGTATCCACCTCTACCTGTTGAGTGCCAACAAGGTACTTTTCCAAGGGAAAGATATGAGACTTACTGCAGGGTGGCAAGGGGGCAATTACAGGGTACCTACAGGGAGTTTAACATTTTAGTGAGTAGTATGAGTAGTTAACAAAAGGTAAAACTAAATTGTAGTACTTAGTATGTTTTGCTGTAGTTTTTACATAAAGCCGTAAATAAAAACCAACGCAGGTGCCCTGCAAATACCCTGTAGGTATCCTGTCGTACCAAGTGGGCATCTGAATAAGAATCCTGTACTCATTATTTCCCAAAATTCCTCTCAAATATTCTTTAGATATCCTGCAGGCACAGTTTTTAGAACCATTTACATAACAGGATAGGTTAAACTCCCATTACATGCATGTACCCTATAGATATACTGTAATTACCCAGTAGATATCCCTGTGGGTATCTTGTATGCACCCTTCTGAAAACATGCAAGATATACCAAGTAAATTAAAATAAAGTTTAAAACAGGAAAAACTGTTGTAGGAAGTACCACACCCAAGCTTTAAGCTAAGCTGTCGTTTACCCTAAATCTGTCTTCTGCAACAAACTGAAACACAGGAAGTCTAACGCTGAAAAAACCCCCACAAACCTCTGGGGCGTTCCCTGCCGTGCCAATAATCAATAATGGAGCCCAGTTGCATTTACTTTGCAGTGTTGCACCCAGACTTCATCTTCTGATGTGAACCACTGTAAGCTATTGCCTGCCATAGAGCTCAAATTAAAAACGTGAACTGTGTAATCTGGTCTGCGTTTAATTATGTACTGGATTGAAAATAAAAGTTTAACAGCCACACAAACATGTGAGCGCGGGGCATTTTCAGTGGACTCTAACTGGGTTAAACTCCACCATAACAGTCACGGCATTAACTTCTGCGCCCCACTTTCGTCCGGCTACCTTTCACGCACAAGAGCTCGTCGGTGTTTTTCTTGCGTACACAAAACTACGCGTTCGGTTTCCTGACGAGAAAGGGAAGCTGCACGTAAACAGAGCTCCACATGGCAGGAACACGGCATGTAAAGTAGACTAAGCCTTCACAACTAATTTGCTTAAAGAATACCAATGAGAGTGACAGAGAGCGATGAAAGGCCGTCTCTGTCCTCTGTGCTGCTGAAACTGATCATCCCGATACATATGTGTCGTAGCTTCCATCAAAACACCCTCTTCTTGGCAACATCAAAAGCAAATGCCTTTTCCTCTTTAAGCTGATTTTCTTTTTCTCACCTTTGCTCCAGTGAGGCGCTTAATTCTCTGAGTAAAACTCCTGGGAATTATGGTCCTGCGCGCCCTTTCATTCGCCATCGTGAAGACAGCGCAGATAAAAGCTGTGACATGACTATTCTAGACTAAACTTTAACTAGACCTTGTGTCACAGTTAGACCTCTTGAGCTATATTTATCAAAACCTACGTGTGTGTGTGTTTCTGCGCAGTATATGCTGATCACTAGAATAAACATATCATGCTAAAAGGAGAAGTGTAGCAAAAGTTAGCACAGAGAAAAAGAACTTGTAGAGTATCAGAACTCAAAAAAAGAGGGAGAAAGGATGTATAAGCATCTGAAATATCCGTCACCTTCTATTTTTATTTACTGTTTTTAGGTCCGCTTTAGTTTTACTTTTATTTTTGAAAGAAAGACCGATCAAAGGGCATGCAAAGAAAAGTCCAGAAGAAAAACAGGCCTTGGGATTGTGTTCTCTTCCAAAAATGGGACTCGATAGTCAATAAAATAATGTTACAGGCTCTTCGAGTTTTTTTTTTTTTTGCATGTCTCCAACATTTGCATTCTCTTCTAGTTTGAATGAGCATTGATATATTGTTTTTCTGCTAGGAAATTTAAACATTTGTAGGATTACAAATTCACAGGAAGGTCTTTGTAAAATCCCTGGAAGCTGATTCCAGCTTCCAGCTTCCCTGGTTCCAAACAAGTCTGGATTAAAGGTTGTGTTTGGATATTTTGGGATTGTTTAAGAATGGCTGCATGCATCACTTGCTCTAGGAAACTATTACAGGCCAACATTTAGGGGCATTGAAGAGACAAGCACAGGAATTTTAAATTTTTATTTTTTATTAAAGGTGACACGTTATTAACTTCTGCTACTTGCCTCTTTGTTGATGTCAGACACATTTCATTTAGCTGCAAACTTATCAATAAATAGATTACAATTGGCCGCCACCCTCATTCCAACTCTGATGAGTCGCCATGAAATCTTTGTACCATCTCAAAAAGAGCGAGTCAGAGAAACAAGGTCATCTCCACAGTTTATTTGCTGCTTTTTTATTCAATAAAACAAACAAAATTCTGTGCAGGACACCCATTATTATAACAGATGGCTTGTCGTGGAGGAAAAGCTGCACAGCCAATGATTAGGGAAGCAGGCAGCTGATGGAGCTGACTGAATGAGGATGCATGGAATGTGGTGTGCTTGAACATAGCATAGCATAGCATAGCATAGCATAGCATAGCATAGCAGTTAGCAGACCACAGCTTCAAGCTAACCTGTAGGAAACAACTGCACATCAGCTTTGTCCTGCTAGTTTTTGCCCTTCAGATAACAGGATGGATTATTTACAGCGGGGAAAAACACCTACAGCATATAAAATAGTAAGAGTTTGTTATCCTGTGTGTTTCTGCTCGGAGCTTTCTGCGCAGCTGACAAAGAGATGGTTCTTCTGGGAATACATTATCTTAATGTTGTGGTGCATCTTTGAATTAAATGGAAGTAGTGGAGACTAAGCCGTCTACCACCGAGTAAAAATGATGGTTACCATTGAGTCTGGATGCGGCTGGCGGGGCAGACAAACAGGACGTAGAAATAAAAAAAAGAAATAAAAAAATGATTACGAACAAAGAAAAAGGAGCCCTTCTGCTCTTACACAACACTTGTTTTGATCCTATCACATTACAGACTTTGCCTCAGTCATTGATCAAAATGTAATCTCAAAACAATCGATGTGGATGGCCAGACAACTGACCTCAAAACAGATTGATTTCAAACAATGCGAAGCAGAAATGCAAGGATTGCCTCATCGATCCGTAAGAAAAATGATTGATCCCAAAGAACAATCATTTCCAAATGATATATTTGGTTACTATTTCTGCGTTATGTCTGCTTTAGATCAACACAAAGTAGTGCATAACTGTGAAATGCAAGGAAATGGATACATGGTTTTCTTTTTTGAAATATTCTATAAACATTCGTAGCCACAAAAGTTTAGTTTTCTTCCAGTACTGCCCTGTATTTAACTCCAGCCTACATTCTACATTTAGGTCAGAAGGTTCAGTGTTGATTTCCTCTAACTAGAGCACATTCTTCACATATTAGCTTTATTCTCTTGTGACAAACTGTACGTTGGACTTCTTTAGTACCATTTTACACAGGTGGACTCCTTTGGTTTACTTCTAGGGGCAATTGTTTTGCACTGGATTTTGTTCAGGGGTGAATGAGAAAAAGGGGCTGAACAGAAACGTATTGCGGCACTTTTTTATTTAAAATGCATGTCATTGTTGCTCATCTTTGAATGTCCCTGTGTTGATGAATCACCTGAAATCCCCCAAAATACAATCATCTTAGTGGTTGTAATGTGACAAAAACGGGAGAAGCTTCGAGATGAATCAATACTTGGAAAACCTGCTGTATCTACCTGACGTAGAAGTGAGTCCCCTGTCAGATTTCATGTCAGTCAATGATGTAATCTGTCATTTTAAGTCCCACCTATCTGAAGTCCTCAAGAAAACATACAACAAAACATGCATACGTCTCTCATTGTTTTCGTACTTCTGCAAGGGCTCTGGTTACTGTACATGACAGCAGTTATTGTGTGAGCTGATAATATCAGAATGTATTGCACCATGGTTCTAATGACCCCAATTTTGAAGCATGCAAAGAAAATCTGTCCTCTCCAACTACCTCTCTGTGTTTTGCTAAAGATCCAGCAAGCGCTGCCTGACAGTCAAGATCCACTGTAACTTTTTGAGCTGACGCTTGTCTTTTTCCCCCCGCCACCCTCAAGAACAGTCCAAAATTATAACCCACATGAAGTGTGATATGTCCAAAAAAAAGAATTCGAAATCAGAGCTAACCCACAGCCGTTTATGCTACAAACTGCTGCAATGACATCTGAGCACACTTACAAAGTGTCTCTCACATCCAGAGGAGCAAAAGAGCTACAGATTAAAGGCAACAGCTGCAAAGATAAGAGTACTGTGAGTTTATATTTACGCCACTTCAACATGTACAGGAAAAGACAAGTGCACAGGAGGCACGGTTCATTGAAACAGGAAGCAGCGCACTTGTCGAAGTGTTCGAACCAAGTAGCCAGTAGTAAAATTAGACATTTTAATTTTACAACGCGGTGGATGTAATCTCCTACCTGGGCAGCCACTGGCAGAGTCAAGCCCCGTTGGGCTTGATGACCTGTCCAAACCCTGGAGTACATCTCCACCATGTTTATCCGTTTCTAGCAACACGATCCATAGATCCAAACACGGAGAGACTCGGAACCAGCGAGCTAACTATTCAGCAGCCTTCAGTCGACCTGCGCTATGCCAGACTCCTAAGCACCCTCCTCATGCATGCAGCCTTCTCTCGCAGCGGCCGTGATAGTAGCAGCCCAGATAGAAAAGAGAACTGAGGTCTGTTACAATAAGCAGCAGGAAGGGACTGTGAGAGGGCTCGCCGATGTGGGTGTGTGTCACTGTTTGTGTGTGCTTAAATTCTTGTGCACAGGATAGGAGGGTAGAGGGTAACTGTCTGACTGAGCTAAAAAAAAAAAAAAACAGAGTCGGTAAAAAGTAGACAGGAAGAAAAAAAAGTTTTAGTAGGCAGAACAACATGAGCTCTGCGGGTCACTTCGACCTACTTCCTGT